CTTGATATCCTCCATTCCTCCTCTTGTTCCCAATGGGCTTGTGCCAGGAAGAATGATTGTACACTAAGTTAGTTTTTTCATTGATACTTTCTTCTTCCATTTCAGTGTAATTTATAAAGTAATTTCTCATATGAGTCTGATTTGGGCAAATGCTGCATTCGTAGGTTGAATTTAAAAGGTTGTGAAACTTGCCAATTTGAACTTCTTTTTATTAACATGCGTTGTTTTAGTAGTAAATAAATGATTTGCCAAAAATGATGAATTTATTAAAGATACTCCTTATGTAGTAATCGAGATTTTTATAAATTATTCGAAGTAATATACATGTAACACAATGCAAAATATATTTTACCATGTTTTTTTTATATTGCAGGCCAAGGTATGATCCTCTTCACTTGACATGTTTTGCTATGAAAGCCCGAACTCCATATGAACGCACCAGCCTAACTCGCAATTGCCAGTTTGTCTTGGAGGTGTTAAGCTCTTGAATGCTTTTGAACATCTTCAGCATAGTCTAGAACCGTCTGCAGCGGAATGAAAAACTCTAACAATCTTATAATGATTGAAAGTTATGAACCGAAAAAAAAGGTGTAAAAGTTTATCAAAGCTCTTGAGTTTTGATAGATTGAATTCATTTATGTCGCAGCTATATATAATGATCAAAGGGGGTTAAAACTGCATTGAGGAACTGTCATGTAGAGGACGTGCAAGTGGAGATGTAACTGACCCACTATTTCACTTTGAACGGCCCAATTAGTTGCATCTGAGAATACCCAGGAATTTGACCGCAGATGTTGTAAGAAAATCCCAATTGTTTTTGTATTGACCCATCTTTTGCCACGTGTATAATTTAATGGCCAGATTGGACATGTTGTTATCACGATTCAGCATTTATATACATAAAGATAAAGATTATATTGACACGGTGTCCACTTATTCTATAAGAAGTAAGTATGCAGCAATCGCCACAATGGAATCAGGCGGGAACAGGTTATCCTAGCCGATTCCATTGTTATATATATAAAGATTACAACAATTAAGCACATAAATCAAAATATAACCACAAATTAGTACTCTAAAAGATAGTGATTCTTCATATGTATTCCACGGTGGTGGTTAGTTCAAAAAAGAAATCGCCAAAATTTTGATCATATCTTATGAATAGTTTACAATGTTTATTAGTATTTGTCACGTGGCCCAAATCAAATTAACACTATGGGGCATGCCCCGGGTGTTACACTAGTTATATGAGTATATTTGGACGTTTTTCGAATGTTAATGGTTTTAATTAATTGTTTTTCATGTTTGATGACCTAATTGACTTTTTGATATGATATAGTATGAGTGCTTATTTGAAAACTTTCCCTACATAAAATAGGAGCAATAATAAAGTGAAATTTCAAAATAAAAGTATTGTAGCCAAGTTGAAAACGATATGTTGTTTTAATATAATCTTTGTGTTACTTCAAAAAAATGTATTGTAATTTACCTCCTGAAGTGAGAGTAATTACAACCATATACGAAAGACATTGTTAATCATTGTATAGTGTTGTTACACAAGAATTTTACATTGTCTTTACTCGCTGATAGGCTATACGTATAGAGAGAAGTGAGAGCTAGAGAGAAAGTTTGTAATTAATATTTCTCAACCCCCACAATTACCCCAAGGGGAGTGAAAATGTGAGTTTGGGTCCTAGGCCTTGGGCCTGAGAGGTTCGATCCAATAGTAGATCGCTAATGGACCGATTACATGATTTTGTAGAGTTTATGTGTAAAGTACAAACTACTGGTGATGTTCCTGGCCGAGGGGAGTGTTGGCCGAGGGAGGCACGGACGAGGATGCCATTTCGTTTCAGTTTACTGATCTCAAGTTTTTCGGGCTCTTCTGTGTCAGTCGCCTCGTCTAGCCGAGGTAGGTATGGACTCGGTTCGGGCCGGGCCAGGCCTCGGTCTGGTTACGATCGGGCTTTTTTTGGAGAAGTGAGGCCCGGAAACCGGCCCGGGTAGCTCCGGGCTCGGGTCGGGCCGGGTACCCTATTTTTTTATTTTTTTCTAATTAGTTCCTACCCCCCACCTACCCCCCCCCCACACCCCAAACCCCAAACCCCTCCAAAACACCCAACCCAACCCATTTACCTTTTAAAAAATGTGAAACACAAAAAAAAGACCTGAACCGGGCTCAACCGGCTGGGCCGGTTCGTGATTTGGGAGGCCCGGGATTTGCCCCTCTATAGTGTCGGACCGGGTGGCCCAAACCGGGTACCGGGCCGGGCCGTAACAATACCGGTTCGGGCCGGTTACGAGCCGTAACAATACCGGTTCGGGCCGGTTACGGGCCGGTTAACCCGGCCCGAGTCCATCCCTAAGCCGAGGGGGTAGTCGAGTCTCCTGTCTTGTGGTGTTTGCATTCTGTGAGTGTGTGGGTCATGAGGTCTAGACCCATATAGTCTATCACTCACATTAAAAAAAAAACTAAACTTCTAACACGATGACCACCATGTGTATCAATATGATCTTCTATTAATATATTATTGGTGATGGAGTATATTATCATACCTGATACCCCCAAGTGCTCAGACCAAATGATTTGAGACGGGGCCCTAGGCCGACCATCTGCTGGTCAAGGTCCTCCATCAAGGCTTGATCTCAACCTAATCTCAACTCTTCGTTGACGAGCATGTTCCATTTCAGGCCGAGCTACATGAGCGATACTGAGCCTTATGATTACCGACCTACGGTCGCGCACTAAAGCTACCGCAAGAAGCCGAGCGGGTTTGATCCGCCTTGGCTTGGCTATGGTTCTACACGTAGCCGTTTTTCAGATGTTCCAGACACATACGCATCCAAAACTTACATCACAACCACACTATTACTAACGTCATAACCCAGTTCCAAAGGGATGAATGACATCATCGCTGACATTGCTACACGGTTCTGAAGGGCTGACATCATCAGACATCCGCATGACGCCACTATTAAAGGACGCTTGTCAAACTCTTATTAGCTAGCATGTTGAGCTTAAGGCCCAAACCTTGTTCTTTTTTGTCTATAACTAATACAACCTCCCTTTTTAAAAAGGGAAAAAAACTAAGTGTATTGTTATTCTGCCAAATTTGTTTATTACATAACTTTCTCATTCCAGAATTGCTTTAACTTCTGTCTGGTGTTAGAATATCCGAGTTTCAGGCTCCATTTGGTAGCTAAAGAGTGCCATTAAGGCTCTTTTTGAGAAAGCGGTGAAAGAGTGTAGTGCGTTTAATGCAAGAGGAAGTGTATAGTTATGTGATTTGGAGTGTCGTCCGGCATTTACCACCATCAAGCCTCCATTATATTCCATTTAGTTCTTGGACAATAATTGGTGATGATAGTATTTTTCATCCCCAAAAAGATTTTGGTATTCAAAGAGTTCCCACTTTTGTCAAAGGAATATGGTATAGAATTTCTCTCAACTCAAGCATATAGCAAACTAGCCACAGTAGTGGATGACAATTTGAGTATAGACAAATATGAAATAAAAAATTAAAATTTATGTCTGCTGCTAAATGCTAATCGTTTAATAACATGGTATGGTGCAAGCTAATACACGATGTGTTTGCATAACCCAAAACCTACTCCTACTTTCTTTGGTGTGGCGACCGATCCGATATATTGAACCATTGGTTTCGTCTCTCTAACAAATGGGGTACCGTACCTAGCACTCACTTGATTGGTTTAAATCATTACATCATTTTTAATTTAGATTTAAATAATTCAAGTACATCATTCTGATTGGTCCATGTGAACAAAGATATGTTACCTTAAGAATATCATAGAATCTACCATCTTGGATTTGTTTGGTGGCCAAAGTCAGCATCTTCCAAGTTCCAAGTCTTATCTTATTTAAAAGCCTCTAAAATCTCTTGAATGTATGTGTGGTTACCGCTTTGGGAACTGTTTTAGCTAAAAAGGTTAGAACACAGAAGCATGGATAAATAAAGTTTGGAAAATAAATATATTGAGGGGTAAATTTTACTGTTGAGTACACTGTTGTGACAATGTTTGACACTGTTTTGCACTATTTTGAAATTGTTTTGCACTGTTTTGATGTAAACTTGTTTGCTAAATAAGGAAGTGTGAATTTGTTTGGAAGATCCCGAAAAGGAAAGTGAGAACTTAATTTGGGGACAGAGGAAGTAGTAAAAACAACGTTATCAAACAAGTGAAACAACTATAACGTTTCCCTTTTAAAAATTGAATTATTTTAAGTTAAGTCGTTACTAAAAAGAGAAAAAATAGTGAAGTTGGGGACTAAAACTTAGAAACGTACAAAGTACGAGGTAACCATTAATTGATTAAGTGGCCCGCCATTTTGCAACATGAGTTTTGAACTATGGATGGACTCGGGCCGGGTGGCCCGACCCGGAACCGGCCCGGGACCGGCACTGTTCCGGCCCGGCCCGACCCGGTGGCCCGGTCAGTGACCGGTCCGGGTAAGCCTGACCCGTGGGTTTTCCGGTCCGGGCTCGGGTCACCCAAAACAATGCTGAACCAGTTTTGTTTGGTGATGTCTGTTAGGGTAACAATGTCATCTCACCAAAAGATACTTGACAATTACGGAGTAGTTTTTTGTTAAAGAGTCCTTTATAAATACAACAACAAAAGGTGAGGTGAAAAAGATACATAGTTTTATGTGTGTCTAAAAATGGACATCCAAGGTCCACCCAAAAACTGGTAGCAGTCTTAGAACCAGGCAGGTCAATGAAAATCTTGAAGTGTGCAAAATATGCAAAAACTCAAGCAATTTGGATAAACCCAATTTCGAATGACTTTTTCGATTTTGTAATTTTAATTTCTTATTCTAGCAGCCTCTAATATAAGAAACTGAACTGCAATCAGGACTGTGGTATATTTATATGTATTCGAAAAATAAATTAAATCAACATTATTTTGAAAAAGTGCACACCAAATAATATTATTGATCCAAAAAATGACAAATTATACATTACTCCGTAGAATATTATGGCTGTGTTCAAAATGCTTATTAAGTAGATAGTATTTTCATTAATTGACTATTATGAAAATAGTTACTTTCTACGCAATAATATGTACATTATTACGGACTAATTCGTCATGTGAGAATTGACTAGTAACCCGGTCACTTGGTCAAGTCATTTCTTAGTCATGTAAATTTACATGTGAAGAGGAAATAGGATATTTGTTAAGTATAATGACTAATGAGATGTGTACTGGAAAAAACATTCACAGCATTGCATTTGAACTCCCTGACTATGCACAATCATCATAAACAACAGCTGCGCTACCTGCACAGCTGCACTTATCAGCAAACAAAGATACACTAATACGTAGTACAATAGGTTGGTTCTTCACATGTATTGTGTTTGGTTCTTGAGACAGCAAAAAACAAACTTTCTTGAAGAAGGTGATGGTCATTAAGAATCCCAGATGTGGTAATGCTTCATCAACTAAAGATCAGAAAAAGTTATGCAGAAAGAAAAATGAATTGTGAATCTTCAAAAATTTATTACCTGCCAGGAAGTAGTGTGAAGAGAATCACAGGGAGCTGGAGCCATGTGGTTGTGGTGGTGGCAGCTCAGAGCTCAGCATATGATGCAATAACACATCCACTCGCTGGCTCCGTGTTTTTGCACTGTATGTATGTATCAAATTACAGTGAAAAAATAAAACACATAATCACCAAATACAACCATAATATGAAATATTCACTCAGTTACAAAAATATTGCTCGGAGATTTTTTATGTAGTAGTAGGTAGCTGTGAGGCAGACATACCCAACGGTGCGTGGTTGGTGCTTTCCAGTTCCTGCCACCTGAAAATGAACAGTTTTTTTTCCTTTCATGATGAACGAATGCAGCAAGGTGAAGGGAATAAATGATAAATGAAATCATTAGTATTCTTCTTCTATTGCTTGAATACTTAAACGAGTGAGCAGGCTTTCACCAACCTTCGCATCCTCATCCATTGCTGAAGTCTCAAGCTCCATCTCAGCTTGGAAAACCTCCAACACAAATGCTACAATCTGAAAGGAAGGAAACGGCTCCTTTAATCAACTCACTTTTTCTTACAACATTAGTGTTTTATGTAACATGCAACTTTCATACATACTCTGTCCCACAAACATATGCCAACATATGCGATTTTTGACTTTTTTCCATCATTTGCAATGGAGCCAAAGACTCATTATTTTTTGGCTTGGGAATATGATGGAATAAAGCAAATGACTCACTAAACTGTCTGCGCTTCTTTGTTATGAAGTAACAGTCAGTCCATGCAATTTTTGACGTGATTTTCACTACGGGTCATCCGGAAACAATCACTATGTACTTTAGTACATGGGTAAGACTGCCTACATCCGACCCCCCTACCCCACCATAGGTGGGAGCCTTTGCGGCACTGGGGCATTGATAATGATAAGATGATGATGATGCCATTTTTGACTTCTTGGTCTCATAAAAGTGAAATGTAGCAAATCTCTGTCGGACAAAGGTAGTATATTGATGCTGACCAGGAAGACTTACTAAATTCAGTAGCCACAATACAGATATAACATAAAAGCTTATGAAGTAGGCACAACTCCACCAAGTCCCAGTCAAATCCTTGTAGCTCTGAAATGTATAACTTCAATAAAAAATATTGAAGAGCTCAAAAATACTTGGGAAGCTTAGCTGAGGTGACGATAAGCTTCACTAATCATATATTATGCAAGAACCATAAATGATATAGCGTCAAACAAGTAAGTAGCAGTGTAAAACAAAGATTGTGTAAAAGTGCCTGCATCCAGAGGTGCCAGTTTCCCATCACCAATAAATTGAAAAGCGTGGCCATTCCATTTGGGTAGTCGTTGAAGTTGAAAAGCAAATAGCTTCTTGTGTCAAGTTAAACAAAAGTTAATGATGGATAAAATGAAGCTTTTGAGCATCATAATGAACGAATCAATGAAAAACAACAAGTGATACTCCGTATATTATTCCACTCCACATGTCCCTATTTCTTTTGTCAACTTTCCTAATTTGGTCGCCCCAAGAACGTTAACCGCTTTCCCTTTACGGAAAGGAGTTTGTGGTTTATATTGTTTTCCATCATTTGCAAAGGAGCCAAAGACTCACTATTTTTTTGGCTTGGGAATAAAGCAAAATGGCTTACTAAACTGTCTGCGCTTCTTTGTTATGAAGCATTAGTCGGTCCTTGCAATTTTCGACGCGATTTTCACTATGTGTCATCCGGAAACAGACTCTTTGTGCTTTAGTACGGGGGTAAGACTGCGTACATCTGACCCCCCTTACCCCACCGAAGGTGTGAGAGCCTTTGCGGCACTGGGGTAATGATGATGATGATGATTGTTTGGGACACTCAAATTGGAAGAGAAAATAGGGAGGGGAGGGAGTATATAGATAGCATGGAGAAGAACTTCATATATTTATTTCCTGAACAATGCATGTCTTTGTAATTTGACTTAATATGCACTACTACTTATGGACCTTCTAACAGTTGACAAAAAGGATACTCATTATCAGCTAGATCAGTTTCATTCAATTTGGGATTCCCAACATTCACAATCCCTCCAAAGATCTGCCAGGGAAGCTAATAGACTTTCAGACTATACATAACAGGATAAAACGGAGCAATAGTACTGGGACTAATACAAAAAATAATGGAAAAGACACAAAAAGAGAGATCTCTTCTTTTCTATTTCTTTTTTCATCACTTGTAAAACGGCATGAATTTTTTTTCTCAAAGGCGTTCCAAAATAAACCAATTCATGTGCTCACCAAAATTGATCTCTCAAACAAATTACTTGAGTAATGAACTTTAAAAATGTGGAATATGGGGGGTTAGAATGTGGGAAACGGTGAAGCTTTGGAAGAATGTCAGACCTTTTTCTAGGGAAGAAAATTCTTGTTTCAGCTTAAAAGCAAATTGTATTTTTGAATTTTTTTAGAGTTCAGCTTACGGGGGATCAAGAGAGTATGCATACCTGCAAACCAAGAGAGCAGTAAATGCATAAAATACAGAATACTGTCCCCAAATATGGCATAATGCTTGGTATGAGAGTCAAAAATGTGGCAACAAAGGCACGATAACTTCGAACTAGCAACAAGAGCCTTATTAATCGCAGCAACCTTGCAATAAGAAGATATCGGATCCTGTTGACAACGTGAATATCGCAGCCTTAAGAGGTACATCCCAGTATTCAAATCAACTAATTATAGATGATTGATTTTATTGCCTATGTAACCTGTAAAAATGAATAGTTAAAAACTAAAACGTGAAAGTAACAGCCCAAAGCTTCTAAATTGTGCAAGGAAACTTTAATGCATAAGATTTTTATGAAATAAAGTGGCAAGTTTGATGTGTTAAGACTTAAGAGTGTGCACATGTGTCTGGTTGAATATATGGTTCTTGTTGAATTAATCCGTGTCCCACCTCATACTCCATAAAGTACTTTACTAATTCAGGCTAAAGACCATTATATAGCTATTGCAAGAATCCTAATCATAAAAGAAAACATAAAGCCATAAGCTCACAAGAATCCAATTAAAATTGAATAAGGAAATAACAAGAAATATAACAATAATAATAGGGAACTTATACTACTATTAGTAAAAAGTACTACATGTGTCTAGTTTGAAGGTTCAAATTCAAAAGTTGCACGCTTTATCAGGCAATAAGTAAATACGGTAATTTGAATATAGTTCGAGAAGTAGTTTGTGTGGGTATATAATATAATGGGGTAATTGATGATAATGGTGTTGTTATGGACTTAAGGGTGTACAGTGTACTAATTTTAATATGTCATTATACAGTTGTTAAAGAGAGTTGATTATTTCCTAAAGTGGAAATGAAAACCTTGATATGGACATCAAAAGAAGACAAGAAAGAACCTTGAAACAGGAAGGATGGAGTATTGCAAATTACTAATTAAAAAAACTATAAAAATAAAAATAATTTCCCCAACCTTAGTAGGAATGGTCTAGGAGGCTAGGATGCTCATACGAGATTGTGAACCAGCAAGGCTAAAAAGGTTAGTGTTTTGAATTTATGGTTTGGCTCATTAAAATGTTTCCAAATTTTAGTGTAAGTAGCTCTAGTGCTCTATATATAATGACATGGTTGTAACATATAGAAAACAAACATCAAATTAATGTTCAAAAAAGGACATGTCAAAATAAACATAAAAACGACTTGCCCTATTGAAATGGAGAAATGAACAGATATGCCCCATACTATATGTGAGGGGGAAAATCTACCCTTCAGCTGAGGGGTATATATGTTCTCTGATATATATATAGACATATAGTTTAATGGTATACTTGTTCCCATTTTACAATTTTTGTGTTTAATTGTTCCAAAAAAGTCCAGACATACTCCTCATACATATGTTCTCTCACATATAATTTAAGGGTACATTTGTTCCTTATCCCCTTTTTTTTTTAAAAAAGCTGAAGTTAAAACATCTCTACCATTCCCCATTTGATAGAAAGGTTAGCCCATTTGGAGCAGCAAAAGTAGCAGTTTCTCCTATAACTGCACAGCACAAAACATCCATGTCATATGTCAAAACAGAACAACAACAACAACAACAACATCCAAGCCTTAGTCCCAAAAGATATTGGGGATATGTCAAAACAGAAATACAGAAGAAATATTATTAAAAGAAAACTATGATGGCTTATGCTGGCTACTCAGTACCATTACGATAACAGATAACTTAATGAGTAGATTATAGCTATGTTCCTTTTCATGATACTGAACAGATGATTGGAAGGAAGAAATAATATGCTTGTATCCAAAGTGGTAAACCTACCTATCACCAATGTGATAATAAAATCAAAGCGGTTTTGGCCATTCCTCCAATAATTTTCAAATCCATGTGCGTATATTTTTAATGTCATCTCAACCACATACAGCCACCCTGTAGCACAAATATAGCATGGCAACTCCTAGCTTAGAACTAATGATTCTGAACTGAACAGAGACAGGTCACACAGGATATGTTAAGAATCAGGACCCCTTTAACTGAAGTGAATGTGTGTTGCTTCAAAACAAGAAAATTGTGGAGTGCATCAACTGTGCATAGTCAGTCTTAACGAAGAATGAGAAAACAGGCCTTACCAAAGACGAACTCTATCTTCTGCCAAGAGGTTTGAGCCAAACTATCCTCTATATCAAGCTGGAATTTATATGAATGGATTACCAGCACAAGTCAAGGTCAATACTAATAATATAGTAAAGAAATATGCAAACATAAATACATAATAATAAATGAATAAGCAGAATATCTTGTTACACATGGTAGCTTCACTAAATTTCTACAAATGAGACTGCTTAATTCAGAATAGCATACACATATTTATTACATATTTTCTCCCAACAGCTTTAGGTTTTGAAAAAATCCTATGCTGGTTGATGGGACAATCTATGAAAGAAGTTAGCCAATTATGAAACAACTGCATATTCTCATAAAGAGCAAAGGGAAAATTTGCTTAATGAAGAGAATATATTCTCAATGATAATCTCAGCCTATCTTTTTATTACAAAACTCTAGGTTTCAAACACTTCTACTCTGGTTGATGGGATAATCTGAACAAAGTTAAGCAATTATGAAACCATGCATATCCAGAGTATGAACAAAGGGAATTCAAGTGTGCTAAAGGGACCATATTTTCAATGACAATCTAAGCATATCTTTTTTAAAACAAGTTGATAGCTGATAAGTCAGGTCATAGCTAAGTATAAGTTCATAGCCAAAAAGCTAGGTGACCTAATTATTGGTGTTTGACAAAAAGACTACTTGAAATGATACAAAACGACTACTTGAAATAATTCAATTTCAATCTATTTGACAAATATAGATTCAGCTAGGAAATGCACAAAATGATACAAAAAGACTACTTGAAATAAATTTAAAATAACAAATAGATTGAAATTGAATTATAAATGATAAATTTATGGAGCTTATTTAAAAATCTATGCAAGAAGGTTATGAAATAAGCCCTTTTAATTAAACAATCCATCTTGAAGTTGCCTCTAAAAATGCTAATAATTTTGTCAGGTCAGACAAAGCCCTAGGACTTTTAAGGAGTTTAGTAGAGCAATGTAGTTGATGAGAATATTTTGTGATTATTGTTACTTTCCTCTCTCTGATAATACATACTAATGTATATTCCATTCGGAGTTCAATAAAAAGAAAATTGAGAATGACTTTAGGTCCAACACCAGCCAAAGTTCAATTATAGAACATAGAAATGAAAAATAAATGCTTTGAAATGTACATGGGTTGTTGGATCATACCGTAGTCTCAATTACAACAGCAACAAAATTGATGACAAGAATCAACATTATTACGTATTCAAACTTTGAACTTCTCACAAATTCCCTTAACTTCTCTGATGTTGGTGAATGGTAGATATTTGGAAACCTTTCAAAACATGGTGACTGTAGCAAAGCATGAAAGGTGGAGTTTTGAAGAGATTAATAGAGAGAAGAAGACTTATCAGTTTAACAACATAAAAGGAATTTCCTATACTCTTTTAGCCTCAGTTGAATCGAAAAATCCAACTCACAGAATCTCCCTTCTGAAACTTTAGTGCGATAGCGTTGGTTAGATCAGCAAATTCACTCAAATCAATCTGGAGGATATGGTTACGAATCGTGAGGTTAAAACACAAGTGCCAACTAAACAGCAGTGGTATATGTCATAATATGCTCATTCAGACTTTCATTTAAAAACAAGTTAATTGTAGTATGTAGACCTTCACAGATTCCAATGTAAGTATTTATCCTTACTAAAGGAAGAGGACACAATTGGAAATATATGTGGAGCACATACACAGAAGAGATGCCAATGGCTTCAAATTGTGTAACTAAAACCATTTGACACACATACAAACCATGCAATTAACAAATAAAAGTAATAAAAGCACCTCAACCACCAAGAACAAATACAATAAATGAATATTGGCAGTACCTTGAAGTCACGAGTATCATCTAGCTCATCAAATATTAGCTCAAAATCCTCTCTTGATATTTTTGGCAGTGTCCTGGAATAGAGAAGACAGCATTCTGAAATTCAGTCTCCATTCTGAAATACTAGAATTGTAGTCCACAAAAAGCTCCTAAAAAACTAGCAATGCAAAAATATCCACCGTTGGGAATAGATATAGGCAAGTAGAGGCACATGATCTAAAGGAAACAAGTGCAACTAACAATCTTAATGATAAATTGTGGAATGATTGTGACAAATGAGAGAAATAACTAAACTTCACTAGCTTATAATCTTTTTAAAGTCGAAATCATTTGTCTATATGAATGGTAAAACTGTATTTTTGCCATGATACCAGCATGTGTTAGTTCATCAATTTGATTATTGGAATGTATGTCAAATAACTGCAAGGGTGCATAAAAGTATGGATATACCTGTAATTGTTCAGTTCCTCAAATAGACGGATGCATTGTTCTTTGTTGAGAAACCCAGAGTTCTATTGTTGCAAAGTAAAGATTAAAGATGTCCATCGAAAATTTCAAGGAGAAAGTCAGAGGGCTAGAGGGGCAAGTACTTGTCGTGATCAACATAAATGCTCTGGAAATGAGTTTGCAAATATTTTTTAAACTACACCAATAATAATTAATAATGCAATACATTTAGTGACTCTATCTCTAACAAATTATGCAAAATGCCCTACATTTATAGTATGTATACACTGGTCTAGGAGTGGGAAAAAGAATCATTTGGTCAACATGAATAGTGACTCACATATTTATCAATCAAACTAAATGCTTTCTTCAATATCCTTAGCCTCAGGCGATCCTTCTCAGCAACTTGTTTCACAAGCTACAACAGCAGAAAATTTACCGGTTACATTTAAGAAATAGAGTTAAGCTTACAGTTAGATGTAGAAAAAAACTAATACTACCTCTGTCCCGGTTGACTTTGCCAAGTGCAAAGTAGGTGAGAAAAAAGGATAGTAAAAACTGTGTGGTTGAGATTTGTGCAGAGGAAAGAGAAATGTGCAGAACAACAAATTGGTTGCTTTAATATGAAAGTGACAAAGTTTTTTGGGACAACCAAAAAGGGAAAGTTGGCAAAGTCCAATGGGACGGAATAGTTTATCAGTATGCAAGTTATTGCAATGTGAGTAGCATAAGAGAGGATAGGAGATTATGCCTCACTCTTGAAAGAATCGTATACAACGGCAAGGATCAAGTTGGTGACAAAGTACACACCCAATAGCACATATAGAACAAAAAACAGACAATACCATCGAGAGTCTCTAAAAAGAAAAAAAAACAGTGAAATTTCATCATAGAAGTAAGAGAGTGATTGCCAATGAACGAAATATTGCAACAGTACAAATTACTAGCTAAGTGTGTAAGAAATTTCTAAAACTTACTTGTATGCTGCAATCCATGCATCTGGGTTGTTAGAAGTGGTAAATAGAATAAACATTTGATACAATGTTGTGCCATACGAAGTAAATATGGTCTTCCCTTGTAGGGTGTCCTCAAAGATAACATATCCTAACCAGCTAGAGAACAGAAGAAATAGAAGTGAGAGAATCTGCAATTTAGAAAGAAGATAAGGTGATGAAAGTGCAAATGTGGAGTCATGGAGATGGGAACAAAACAATTGTTCTTGAGTTCAACAAAGAATTATATGATGGCCCTGTTGAAAACGAAACAACTAGTTATCCATTTTAATCCTTAGGTGCTTGTGTGAGTTTGACTATATTTAGCATGCAATACCTAATCATTGATCTGAATAGTATAGCTGCAGACATACCATGACATTAAGATAGGTACGAGACATTCCAGCAAGGATGTAGATGCTTTCCCTCAACTCTCTGGATTCAACAAAAAAATACGGAATATTTAGCGACAGACCAGTTTGGCATTATGGATATAATTTGTATTTAGTAATTCACCATTGTCAAGAACAGACCATACACTTACAAACTCAAAGTAAATTCTTTAAAACCGGAGCATGCCAAAATTAGTATAAAATTAAATCAAAGAATTAATTCCACTTTTGGTCCTACGAGTTTTGTGTCATTTCAACCTTTAGTCCACGTCTTTCACTTTGTCCACTTTTGGTACTTGACTAATGTTTTTAACCACTTGTGGTCCTTTTCCGGCGACTTTAACCATCGGAAACAATGCCGGAAGGATCATATGTGGGTGAAAACACAATAGTCATGTATCAAAAGTGAACAAAGTGAAAGATGTGGACTAAATGTGGAATTGACCTAAAACTCGTAGGACCAAAAGTGGAATTTATTCTTAAATCAAATTATCCCCATTATGGGGTAGCAAAGGGTAAATAAAGTATGCAGATCATGCTAAACCCCAATTTACAGCTTTCTACTGTTCAAAGAATTCAGTTAAACAAAAAGTCCAATTCTCTACGTTAATTTTTTTCATTTTCTATCCAAGACATACTTATAATAGCATGTAATTATATACTCCGTATTATTTTAGTCCACATTTAACAGTGAAAAATCAACAATTGTGATGTCATGTAAAACTTTGGCACATTGGACATATTAGTCATACGGTATAGAGCTCTGAAATATCTTCGATTTGGTATATTATGGTCAGGTTGGTCAGCCGACCCCGCTGAAAGTTTGAGAGTATAGAGCTCTGAAATATCTTCGATTTAGTATATTACGGTCCCCGTAACTCATTACGAGTAAAAAGTTATGACTTCTGGAAAATCAGCACTATCTAAACGTAAAATCAGCAATATTTGATCGATGCATACAATAGATTATTTTCCCAAATTTTTAAAATAGGGTATAAAATTCACTAAATACTTACATGACACGACTTAGAAACAAAGTAAACACAATCTATCTTATTGCTACGAGTGCCTATTTATCTAAACTGCATATGAAATATTTAACTTGGACATGGTTTAAAAACGATCCATCATTTTCATTCTGTATATAAGTTGAGTTTCGAACCCCCTGAGCCATTTTTCTGGCTCCGCCACTGGTCATACCTGATATTTAAAACGAAAAAGGCAACACGTAGATATTGTGCAGTCCTGAATGGAAGATAATATAGTCCAGCTGAAGCCAAAACATATGCCAACAGGTCCGCAGTTAAAACTAACAACAATGTGACCTAAAATTCAAGAGAAGAGTAGCTTTAGAGATTTATATATTATGACACAGGAATTAGCATAAAGTGAAAGAGAAGTTAGGTGAGTGGAAAAAGATGATATAGCCCCTTGGTGAACGGTGAAAACAGATGCATGCATCATGATCAGTTAGCCTTATAAGACACAAAACACCATGATGTAGAAGAGTAGAATGAACTACCTTCAGCCTATTGGTGACATTTATCCAGTAGATCTGGATGCCTTCATATGATATTGGATACAAAGTATGAGTCATGAGCACTACAAGAGTAAAAACCTGCAAATATTAAAGAGAAATAGAGAGAGATCAGTTGTCATGTGAAAAATCATTGGTATGAAATTTTTAGTTAAATACTGCCATTACTATAAAGTTAATTCGTTCAGAAAAACAAATTACTATTGGAGACAATTATATAATGATATGAGTGAAAGAATTTCTCATGTTGAGGTTGCTTGTAAGGAAATCCATTTGTGAAAGAAACTCAGTGGCTTAGAATATGAGTGAAAGAATTTCGCAAGTTGAGGTTGCTTGTAAGGAAATCCATTTTTGAAAGAAACTCAGTGGCTTAGAAGTAGTCAAAGCAATTGACAGTTAAATGGTCCAATGCAACACACAGTATAATGCAACTCATATTGCGAAAATAATAGAAGTTCAGTAAAATAAAAAGGCAGCCCAATGCACGAAGGAATCCCCACCAAATGAGTGTTCGGGGAAGGGTCCCACCACTAGGGTGAATAACGGACAAGCCTTCCCTTGTCAATTTTTTGACAAGAGACCGCTCCCAAGACTCGAACCCGTGACCTCTCAGTCAGAGAGCAACATCTTAACCAGTGTGACAAGGCTCCCCTTCAAATAATAGACGATCAGTCATCATCATCATCATCATTTACCCCAGTGCCACAAAAGCTCCCACCTACGGTGGGGTAAGGGGGGGTCCGGATGACACATAGTGAAAATCGCGTCCAAAATTGCATGAACTGACTGCTGCTTCATAACAAAGAAGCGCACACAGTTTTGTGAGCCATTTTGCTTTGTTCCATCATATTCTCAAGCCAAAAAATAGTGAATCTTTGGCTCCATTTCAAATGATGGAAATAAATAATAGACGATCAGTAACGTTACATAATTTCCTTATTTAATTAAGCAATTCACATTTCTTACACATGTTACTGAACAGTAATGGTGAATCTGGTCCAAAGCTAGTATACAAAATTTCCCTCCCGCCTATGAATATAAATAAATCTAGTTCGCGACATACTAGTGAAATATATGTACATAAAAAGGGCAGCCTGGTGCACATTGGTGTCCGACAAAGGCGAGGGTCCAGCCGTCCAAGGAAGGGTGGGTGTGTAGGGGAAAACCTTACCTTGTCAACATTTGACAAGAGGCTGATACTTAAACCCGTGACCTCCCGGTCACACAGTAACACCTTAACCCATGCGCCAAGAAGGCGAGAATCCCCTTCACTATAGTGAAAATATATCCATGATTACAATAATGGACAACAAACCAGTCACCTATATGGTTCTGACCTCATATACTAGAGCCTCAGTGCTTGTCAAGTACAGAAGCTGCCCTAAAAAGTAGAATTCTCTATCAGTACAAGAATGCAATGACTGCTTGGAACACCACAACGGTTTCTGAAATTAAGCCAACAACAACCATGTAACTCAAGAGACGTGGACCAGTCAATACACAGAGTACAAAATTTATATCTTTTATTTATCGCATGCATGCAACAGGAAAGGAAAACACTAAAACAAGGAAATGTTTTTTTAAATGTTAACAGTAGGTATTTGTACCTCAAGAAAGTTCAGGACGATTAAAGCATAATAGTTTAGGGACCACAATAAATCAAATTTGATAAAAGTGAAGTATAGCTTTGCAGCAGTTGAAAAATTTGATTGCTCAAGGATTTCTTCAGGTATACCAACTCCATCTTCAGCCTGCATAGTGAATGAAAGAAAGATCAGAACTTTAGCGTTTACTAATTTCCACTATAAGATTTTCAGAATAAGAAAAGCAGTAGAGATTGATGATGAGGAAAGGTGTGCAGAGTACAAGATCAACGAGAGCAGCGGCCATCTGATAAGATGATCCGTACACAATAGCATCGGAGCGACGGTTGAAGGCGCCTCTCCGGTTGAGCTTGCGTGAGTTGGAATCGCCTCCGGCGGCCTCTTCGCTCAGCAGAGCTTCCGCTTCCATCTTCCTCTATCGCAATTTTAAAATTAAGTCGTGGCAGCAGCAGCAGCATTCAGACAAAAACTGTGGCTTTTGGATTTTAGTACTTTATACAGTTATTATACTCCGTATTAACACAAGACAAGAAGCTTTGCTGGTCATTGTCAATAATCAACGTGATAGATGAAGTCTTCCCAATCCCCTCTGTACGTGAAGATTCTTTGTTTAACCATTTAGGAAAATTGCTTTTGTACACTCAAGTTTTAAGCCCCGTCAAATTGGTGTGTACAAATAATTTGATCTACTACACAGACATATTGAAGGATGATTTACGAAGAAAACTAATTTTCACATACACAAAAATAAAAAAAAAATTGTCTGTATCACAGATATTTTATGAAAAATTCAGGTTTAAAATGTCTGTGATACAGACAACTTTTGATATTTTATATGTATGGAAATCGATTTTCTTCATAAAACGTCAGTCAAATTGTATGTCTAGCCGATCAAATTGTCTGTATACAGACAATTTGACCGGCGTGTAATCCGGCGTGTACACGAAGCGGCACTCCTTTTAAGGCTTTAAGGCCTACTCCTTTTATTATTCTTCCTCGTATAGTCTAGACTAGAAATGATGACAGAAACACCTATCTGCCAGTTTCATTTGAACGTTCGACTATACGGGTGGGAGTAGGTCAACCCGTAGAAAGGGAGTCCCGGGTTCGAATCCTTCGATTGCGATAAGAAGTTACTATGCTAAAAATGCATACGACTTCTGCAAGTACCGGAGACGGAGCCTCACTCTCCATCTGTCATCCCAAATTAATCATGACAAAATATATTTATTTGAACTCGTAAATTAAGATCAGATAATGAGTTTTTGTACACGGGGATTACTTACCCTCTTTACTTTTTTGCTCAAAATGCTCGGCACACATACAATTAATTAGGAAACGGGAGTGTTTGATTTTTTAACCGATTCCACTTAAAATTAGCAAGCAACTAGCTAGTTCGGAACAGTAAAATGTTTGTTTTTATAATTCTATGCCATGATCTTTGAATAGTTCTTTATTTCAACGACCCATTTTTTTAATTTCAATCCTTTTTAAAACTCTTGTTTGTTAAAAGAATATTAAACATACATTTACCGTGTGTGCATTATTTGTTTCTAATTTTTTTTAAGAAGAAAATTTTATTGATAAGAAAATATTACAATGCAAAAAGAAATATGAAAACGGTACATAGGAGAAATTAAGAAAAAACCAAGCTAATCTGAGGGAAATTTTTTGAACTGTGAACTTGTTTTCATACTACGACGTCTTTTATTCTTATAAGGTTTCTTGTAAAGTTTTTAGTTGTGTATTCGGGAGCTCCCATTATCTTTAGGGATTTTTACGTAGTAGCCTGAGCGGTTAAATTTTGAGGAAGCCGAGATAACGCCAAAATTCGTGGTGGAGAAAACCAGATGCGTAGGGTAGAGAAAAGTTAAGAACTTTGGAGAAAGGGAGATGGGGGAGAAGTGACGAAGGAGAAGAAAGAAAAAAAGGAAAAATAAAATAAAAATAAGAAACTCTGCAAGGCACAATAAATTTGATTGAATGGAAATCGAAAAACTTATGGACAAGATCCATATACAGAGTATTAAACATGTGGTAAATAAGTAAATAACCTGTGTCCATATCACCCCTTCTTCCTATATACCTCCGTCTCTTAAAACTTTGTCAACTTTCCTTTTTTGGATATCTCACTAACTTTGTCATTTTCCCTTTTAAATAAAGAATTTAAAGAAATTGTGGTTCCAGTTAATTTTCTCTCTTCTGCACAAACCTCAACCACAATACTCCGTATAATATACCTGTGTTTGTCCATGGTAACAACTAATGACCAACATTCAGCCCCCTTAGTCTCAAAAGGAATTAAAGTGGCAAAATGTCCTGAGAAGATGGACCACCCACAAGCCAAAAATAAATGAACTTCCCAAAATTCAGTAAGATTTTCTTGAAGAAATAACGAATGACAAGGATATATATACTAATGTTTTCTCAGGCCAGACCCCGTACCCACTCCAATAACACAACAGCGGGTTTCGTATAATAATAACATAACAGACAGCATTGCAAATTTAAGATTACACAAAAATATAATTAAAAATAATTACAATGCATGGGAGAAGGCGAAAGGTGGCATGAAGGTCCCATCACCCCATGCAACCTCTCTCTCTATCTCTGAGGAACCCTCATCACATTCCACAAACAAAAATCAGACTAATTATATTGCAGTATCTCTAAGCCTCCTCTATGGTAAAATCCTCTACAAATGGAAAATGGTAAAATCTACCCCTCTTCATTCTGTACTTCCTCACACCAATAAAAAATCTGCATCAACACATACAAGGATTTAGCCATCACTGGCATAATAAGATGCAGTAATTAATACAAAACAGAACACACCAAACAATGACTACTGACTCGTTTCACTAATTGTAATAGTTGTGTACTGTAATAATAGTGAGCCTCGATCCCTCTTTTCATACCACTAATGGCCCTTTTGGTAAGCCTTAATTGGCTTAAATGACTGAACCTGCTGAATTTTATCAAGAAAAAACTTATTTTTACTACTGCCGGATATGGTTACCAAATGGGGCATATTACAGCCACCAAGTTTCAGAATGAATGTTTTTCTATGCAAAATTGAATGTGGTTAAATATAGATTTTCTTGCCCAAGAAGAAATTAAGAAAAGGTATCAATAAACACCTCAAACTAATAAACATTCTAAAGAAGTTAGATACCCAAATATAAACTAATGCACAAATTATGCTAAAACTAAAGATGTCAATTTAATTGGAAAAGCCAATCATAATCATAACAATAAAGATTGTTCATATCACACCTTAATTATGAAAACCTGTACTGGGGAGCAGTAGGGCAGAAGTCCACACAGCAATCATTCCAAGATTCGGGAGTCATCTATTTCACAAAATGAAATTTAATCAGCAACTCAGATAGAAGAATATACTTCAACGATCCCGCAGAGCAGGGTCTGTATTTAAGTATTTTAATGAAATATAAATCATGATTATTTGAACAATAAATTGAAACAAACAAATAGAAAGGTCATAAAACACAGAATAAGCATAACCCTACAAAATTTGGACAACAATAACATGAAAATATATATTCAAAATGAGCATATATTAGACAAATGAATTGGTAATCCAAAACTCGAATTTTGAATCACAAAGTAAGGTTATTCTTTTAGACACTTATAGAACATGGTTTGATGATATGTGATGGCCTAATGGGTTCGATAAGCCACCTTTCAAAATTGTAAATGTCTTATCTAAAAAAGGATAAAAGATACAGGAAAATGGAAGATTGTCCATTTTAGCACAACATACAGGGTATGTATAGAACTATAGATCCCTGATAATGCTAGGAAAGTTTTAAAAAATGCCAAGTAATTTATCTTGTAGCATGTAATTAGTTTTACCTCAGCAATTCCCACACGAATATAAACAGTTTATGCTAGACCTACATAGCAAGTGTGGTGACAGATCTCTGGTAATCGCTAGCTCAAAACAGTATAGAATCAATAGGAATTAAAGAAGAAAAGATCGGAAATTCTTATTATCACGGATGAACTGAACAAAGAGGAATACAGTAGCCTTGGACGATTCGAGATGCCTAGTCTCCCAGTCTATTCCCAACTGAATACTTGCCTACCTATTTCCTCCCTTCCCCTTCTATTTATACTACTCTACAAGTACACTTACTATTATTATTATTTCTTATTATTAGCCTACTAAGCCAGATTCCTATCAATGCTCCCCCCCCTAAATAACCACCCTTGTCCTAAAGGTGGGTGATAGGAATCAGCCATGATCTTCCACTTCCACTTCATTCTTGCACCTCTCCCTTCCCAATACATCCCAGATTGCTTGGTCATGACCTTCATTACTTGACCTTTCATCGTCACTTCTTTCACAGCAAACAGGAGCAGAAACTGGAGATGAAAACTCCCTGGAGTTATGTTGTCAAAGATAATACTTCTTTCACCCCTTTCTGCAGTGTTCCTATCCCCATCTCCACTTTGACCAAGCTTCTGACAGGAAATTGAATGAGGTCCTACATGTTTTATATGATAACCAAACCTTGAAGCCTCTTCATTGTAATCAATATCATCATATAAAGGTTCTGCAATATAAAATCCAGCTGCCCTTGTAGTAGCTTCAGCTGATTTATGAAAGTTCAGTTCATGTCCTCCTGTCAAAGTGCCAACCCACGAGTTGGTAGGTGAAATAAGTGTACTTGGACTTTTTCCATCCCGAAGTACAATAGCAAAAGCAACAGATAAACCACACTTGTCATTGCATACAACAGTCCCAATTATACTCACTTGCACCTGATTAATTGCAGTCCTTAAAACGGAATTTCTAATTGCAATATCAACATGAAGATGTAAGAATTTCAAGTCCGGAAAATTCTCAGTGCTTGCTGCAATTGCATATAAACTGTTCTCACTAGGTGAAACCTCAAGACTACACCTTCCACTGTCATCTATCTTCTTTTGTTGGTGTGTCCATTTTTCTAGTCCACTAGTAAGAATTACTCCTTCCATCAAAGCATCTTTTGGAGATGAGTTAGAATCTGAATCCACATTATCCATACCTTCCAGATATTCTTGTGCATGTCCCATAGATTGCTTAATACCATAATTCGTATCCAGTTCCAAACCTGAAGATGCAGCTAACTTCAACTCAATGTTCTTTGCCAACAATGGAGTGCCCTGCAATCCCATTCTTGATTCAACTAAATTTATGGCTCCTGAAATAGATGATATCTGTGAACGATTGAGGAATCCAGCAACTGTACCAGCTTCAGATCCTCCAGCTACTGTAGATTGCTCCTCGTTTTTGTCTTCCGTCAGTTTCTTGATTACATGATCAGCGGACTTCAACTGGGTATTCTTTGTCAACCGGGGATAGTCTTGTGCAGGTTGAGAATGGCTGGCGATAGCACTTGCGAACATGAGTATTCCTCTCTCGATTGCTTTACATTCTGCTGTGAATAGCTCGCATATGAAAGTCCCTTTGAAGTACGAGAAATGACAAACGATGCTGACTGCAAGGACACCTGCGGATGACTGAGAGAAACGGCTTGCGATGACGATTGCTGATGAAAAACAGTTCTGATAACAATGATAGATCTCTGGTAATCGCTAGCTCAAAACAGTATAGAATCAATAGGAAATAAAGAAGAAAAGATCGGAAATTCTTATTATCACAGATGAACTGAACAAAGAGGAATACAGTAGCCTTGGACGATTCGAGATGCCCAGTCTCCAAGTCTATTCCCAACTGAATACTTGCCTACCTATTTCCTCCCTTCCCCTTCTATTTATACTACTCTACAAGTACACTTACTATTATTATTATTATTTCTTATTATTAGCCTACTAAGCCAGATTCCTATCATGTGGTTTTGCCAAGAGCTACAGAAAAACAGTAAACTGATCAATTAATGAGTTGGAAAAGGTTCAAAGTACCTTAATCAGACATCACGCTTTGGTTTCACCCCGGTCACAATCTGGAAAATACGCAGACCTCTACTAAAAGCATCATTGAATAGGATCCTTGTTTGCATGGGTTGAAAACCAGGCAGCCATGACAAGAGTGCCACAGGTATCAACACAACCACCCCAATCATGATCTCATACAATCTTGCCACCGCAACAACTGTTCCCCACATAAAAGTGTTTTGCAACAAGGGGCGAAGCACTTGTGCAAAAGAGAGTAGGCCCCACCCGGTGGGGACAAAGGCAAGAAGGCTAGTGAATACATCAGCAAACTTGAAATCGGTGAACTGGAGGAGCGCAACTATCAATATTATGAAAAGAATGATGACTAGGAACTGAACAAGACGGTAATATATGTGCTCTCTCGCAGAATACTTGTCACGAGCATAGGCTATAATGGTGTATATCCCAACAGCCACTACGATATAAATCCATGAGAGCAAGTAAACAGCAATGCTCTTGCTTCCGGCAGCAATTCCTAGATGATAAACAATTCCATATTGGAAAAAGAAGAAACGGAGGTCCAGAATCATTTCCAGAACCTTCCCCCAAAGACCAGTTGTTCTTAAATGATCCTGCTCTTCATCCCACCATTTTTCCCAACTCTGCTCAGCTTTTGAAAATACACCACCTCGGTACCATACCCAGTTCATGAACTCATCAAAATCATAAACCGTCTTCAACCAATCAAATCCAGAAGGGTTGAACACAAAGGGACCCAAGATCCACGAAACCACCAGGAACCAACTCGAGATCGTCAATGCTATGTATGTGAAGGTTTTGGTTGCCACAGGGCTGTAGGAGGCATATACTATCAGTATGAGCCCGAGTTCAATTGCCTTGGTGAAGTGACTACGTGCATAAAGTCTGTAATTTTCTGCAAAACTCTTGTGCTGTACCACAAATCCACGTCCAGTTGCCCGGTACTTGGCCCCACCATGAAGAATGGTTCTTCCAAAATAGTGGGCCCGTGTTCCCATTGAGAAAGTGTAGAACACAGAACACAGCTGGAGTTGCATTGTGATGAATTCCCAGATGGAAGTGAGAAAACCGTGCTCAAGAGAGTTCTCCACAATCATTGGTAAAGCTGTGAAAAGTCCCAACTGAATGATGAACTGTTGGTTCAGAATAGTAGCAAGCGCTGTGTTATTATTTGTACGACCTGAAGTAGCAGAACCCTCAAGCCCACTAAGTGCCAGGTAGAGTCTACCCCACAAGAATCCATACACTGTGAGAACAATCATCATCGTGTTGAAAAAAAACCCAACAGTTGTGTAGAAAAAAGAGAGCATTCTGAAGAAGTCAAGCCTATGTCCCAACCTATAGACATCCCTACTCAAAACTTGCTCGCCGTTCCCACTGGCAACCTTGGCTTCAAACATGGCTATTTGATTCAGTCCAACATCCCTTCCCTTGCCAACTTGGATATATTCATGGTGAGTTACATTCCCACCTCGCAACGTGCAGTTAAATCCAGCAAATATGTCTTCACTTATGTTGATCACTCTAGATGCTTTGCTAATCCCTCCCCGAGTCAAAAACCAAAACCTGTCAAACACATCTGGGTGCCCATAATGCATTCGGATTTTTAGAGGGTTGGCTAAAACACGTTGCCCCAGAGTGACGAAACTCATTTCCTGAGCTGACATAAACCAAGCAAGAGATGATACCGAACCTGTAAAGATATGTTCCCTAACCCCCAAAATCTTTGGTTTGCGGATTCCATAATAATGCTTGAATTCTTCCAACAGATTCCTCATCTTCAATGCCTCTTCAAAGTAATTGTCTTGGTTCATATCGATTGTCTGCACCGCATCCCCTCGAGTGAAAATTAGAGCATGATTCTGATTTTCAGGCTTTCCTTCCCCAAGCTTCAATGGACCAGGCAACTTGACTCGATAAACCTCCACTTCTTTCTTTAATGTTTGATCATACTTCACAAGCACAGAGAAATACTCTGTCATCTCATCTCTTCCTTTCACAACCTCGTCAACATAAGCAACACGGAGAGCTTCGTTGTTTTCCATCAGCTTCAAGATATCATCAGCACGAGGATCTCTTTTGGCCTTCTGAGTGCCATAAATCTGACAGGCAACCACATAAGTGAATTTCATCAAAGCGGTTCCATACTCATGACCTTTAAACATCAAACTTGCGGAACTATCAGCTCTGCTCAAATCTCTGGAAGATGGTGTCAATTCTGGGCTCGACCCATGCCTCATGGAAGTGAGCTCACGTGATCCATCCCTGATATCCACCTCAGAAGCTGAATCCAAAAAGGCAAGCATCTTAAGCGCTCTGTAATAATACATCATTCCCCTAACAGTCCGGGAAAGTGTTTGACCCCTGTATGATGCCCAAAGCCTGAGATCTTTAAGCCTGTGCTTATCTGACCATAACTCTTTTCTCTCATCAAGCATCCCTTCTCGCCGCATTCGTTCCAAGAAATTCTCCCACTCGTCGGCATAGATTGTTTGCAAGTAATAGAGTGTGGAAATGCCATCTTCGTTCTCAGTCCGGAGTTGTTCCTTACTGTACATCACTTCTTCATTGTAGTATGGGGTCAAAACGCTAAAAGCTCTCATTTTCTCAACGTGAGGTGCATGTGGCATGTTCATGAAAAGAGAGTTGCTAAAAAAGGCCAACCGACGCCTTGCTTCAAGATTCTTTGGAATGTTGCTCATGGAGTCACGGGAAGTGAGAATGGTCCGCAATCGACGAGCCTGCCGGTAAAAGGTCTCATTATTGCCAGGATCAGGAAACACAATTGCATTCTCAAAAAGCAGTTTATTCCGGTCAGCATGAAGTGCCAAACCTTCCTCTCTTAGCTGATCTCCGGTCATCTTCTCCCTGAAAAAATCCCGAGTGGCAATCTCATACATGGCCTGTAGAACATTCACCACCTGGTCAGTATCCCTTTTAGGTTTGAGGATAAGGTTGAGAAGAGTATTAAGTTTCTCACAGATTGGGGGAAGTGCGGTCAGGTTGTAATATTTCGTGAACTTTTCCAGCTTAATCCATTCGTCAATCTGTTGAAAGAAAGTTGTGACGACGGAATGCTCCTCACTATGTGAGTCGACAACCTCAAGCAACAAGTGTCTGGTGCATTCATAAGCTTCGATAACCGCACACCTTCTGTATTCACTCTTGCTGATCTTAGACCACAGCCACCTGTCAGGAGCATCTACCAACTCTTTCGCCTGGCTAAGAGCAAGTAAAAGCTCATTACAAAGCAGTAAACATGGCCATCGAATGACTCTGACATTCCACGTGTTCTGTGGAAGCTCCAGCAACTCAACCTCCCGGTCACTGATGATATCCTCTTCCCTAAACGTCAAGATTATCTCATTCCATATCAATGCGAATTTGTTAGCCTCAACCTGACTGGACTCAAGCTTTCTGAACGGGCGACCAAATCCATATCTGAGTTTCAAACGGTGAATAGCGTCTTTGAACTTGCTCTTAAACGTTCTACGGGTACTCAGTAACTGTTCCTCAGGCATCAAATTGAACTGAATGGCACTTGCAAAGAACTGAAACCTCAACCTTAGCTGCTGCATGTTCCGGATCTCACCCAAGTGGTCAAATAACCCGACTGCTGCACCGGTAAAGGAAGAGTATATAGCATACCATATCTGTATATCCATAAGGTAAATCAGAACAACAGGGAGCCAAATCAATCCAATGGCAAACCTGTTGCTGTTCCCATAAAACTGATGCCATTCATATTCCACGTCCCTAAGACGTAAAAGCGTCTTTGTAGGAGAAACCATCGGTTTAACCTGTAAGAAGTAACTGAAGGAGAACTTGGAGGCGAGCACAAGAACCCAGAAAAGGGTATACTTTATGTTATCCACAAGCCCTTCCCTAAGTCCCCGTCCCACAAATGCCCGGCTTTGGAACCACCATAACAACAGGTTGAATATCTTCCAATTAGTGTTCTCAAGAAAGTTCCTAACCCATGGAAGGATAAAGAAGACCAAAGCCAAAATCTCTGGGGCAAGGAACACCAAACAGACCTCAAGGAAACTAACCACCCTCCTGTTGGCCTCACCTGACCAACCACGGTCATTGTTCCTCTGGGTCCAGATTCTGTTATAGAACACACCAAAAACCACAATCCATGCAGCTGAAACGAAAACCTTCAGAACCATTCTCACCCCATGCCATGGTGTTTCTTTTGAAGCCAGTCTGTATTGCATCCCGATATCAAGAAGTGACTGAAGGAACCTCATCCCACTCCATGTGAAAAACACTGTCAAAACCTTCACTTGCACCTCCCTGCTTTTTAGAGATTCCCAGGGATACTCCTTTCCCTCCCAAGCCACAATGATTGCAGCCTGGAGGAAAAGAAAAAGCATGATCCACAACTTATCAAAGCTCCTATACAAGTTCCAAAAGGACCTTTGCTCCACAAACCCAGTCTTGCCAACCTTCTTACCCTTGTTTGTGGTCACAAAAAAGGTACTGCCGATATCAATTGGCCACTTTAACTTCTCAAAGCACCTCTTAGTCCAGAAATACTCGTTTATATCATCATAGTTCCTCCAAGCAGAGTGTGGGGCAGTTCCATTTCTGCTGTTTTCAGCCTCTGCTCGTATTGTATCATAAATGGGCTTGACAACCCGGATCAGAAATGCGTTTTCGCCAGAAATCGAGGGCAAAAATGGCCTGCCCGTGTCTTCGTCTATGTAGTCTTCCAATATTTTGTTCAATTCCATGGCCATGTTATGAAAAATATAGCTAATGCATTCTGGAACAAAGCGGATGTTAGCTGACTCACCCCAAATAAGAAGGTAGAGGGACACATAGAGAAGCTCACGGCGGTTGTCAGAGGTGTTGTGACGCTCCACGAGCCAGACATTAGATTTGAGACCGAGGAAGGAGCACCAAGATGTGTAGTTCTTCAGGAGCTGACGGCGGAAGCGACGCAAGACTCCGTGGTCGAGACAATCGATGTTGTCCGGAGGGGGGGAAAGCCGCATCTGGGCGTTGGCGAGGTGCAGGACAAGGTGCTCCCTCTGGTTCTGGACACTGGAAGCCTGGAAGCCGAAGAAAAGGGCGAGCCAATCGAGCAGATCATAGTGAGGTTGCCAAGGAAGGAAGGGCGGCTTGCGTAGGTCACCAACGGAGCGGAGTGCAGCGGCGGCGGCACGCACCTCGGGGAAACGGAGCGAAGGGTGGTCTGCTAGTAGGTTATGGATCGGAATGATATTGTAAGGTAACTCTTGAATCCCATGAGGCTGGGCTCGTTGCTGGGCCGGCGGGGGAGGGCGTGGCCGGGCACTCATTGTGACATTTGCAGAGAGATCTACAAATGGTGGTTTAGTTGGTGTTGCAGTGGTTTTGGCTTTTTGTTGGGGACGGCGAGAGCCGATAAGCGGACGAATACGGGACCGGCTGGTGGCGGGTGTGGGCCGAAAGCGCGTGGGGTTCGATTTTCAAAATCGCGAAAACGTTGGGACTTAGATGTAACATTGACGTGCCATATTAACGGTCAAACGACTCAATTTCCAAACCCAAACACTACCCGTTCTTTTAGTTGTAAAAAGAAAAAAATCGGACATTTTGAAAGAAGGGTAAAAATCCGACATGAAAATCCTGTCTAAACACGAGCTGCGGCATGGTAACCTTTTTAGGGTTTGAAATTTGGTACCAACTAATTGTTCCCCGAGTTTCTTTATCTGTGTTTAGCTGCTCGTTTTGATCTTGTCAACGCTGAAGTGAGTTAGTTTCTTTTCTTTTAGGTATTGGGAGGACGATGACGGCGATGAGGATCCGATTTGGAGTGTCCATAGCTCCAGCCGCAGTTCGAAGATCTTCAGGGGGACCCTGTGAGGCGCTATCGGCCAAGCTCTGTGTGATATGGGATGGAGAGGAGGTCAAGAGGGTTGAGGTGTGATGGCGCTGCGTAGTGAGGGAGGGGGAAGACGTATGTAGATGTGGGAAAACACGGCTATGGTGGAGAGAGATCGGACGGTAATGAAAGATTAATCACAACGATATTGATACTGACTATAAGACCTCCTCCTGAACCACCGTCATGGGTTGAATGAGGTGTTAGAATTCAAGAAAATTATCGAGTTAGTTAATGTTTGTTGTTTGGTTTCTTGTAAAAGTTTGTGGTGCTAGGTTTATCTCGATTATTGAAAATTTAACTTATTTTTATGTCGTTATGAGTATACGGATCTATAGGATCAGTGATAATTGTGTCAAATGATTAGCGATTCATGTTAATTTTTCTGTTGTGGCCGTTTGTATATCTAATCGTAGAGTTTATAGTCGTAGTTAGTGGAGGTTATTTGGTGTGAGGTGTGCTTTTTCTTTAATCGATGTAACGATCATGAAATTAACAATATAAATATAGGCAACTCTTTTTCAAAAAAAAAAAGAAATCATCTCTATAGACAAACCACAAAACTAAAAACTACTCTCTAACGTAAAGATGTTTTTTCATGTTACAGAACATTAGGGCATGTTTACTGAGAGAGAGATTTTCCTGTTTTCTACTTCTGTTTTTTGTTCTCCAATTTTCTCTTTTTATTTTTCATTTTTTCTATCTCTAGTTTTTTGTTTCTATTTTCTAGTTTTCCATTTTCAAATTTGAAAACATGTTCATCGATTTTTTACCCAGTTCTGTGATCATCCAGAAGACTGACACGTAACACGGTTACTTCACAGGTTACTAAATGATGCTTATTAAGACTCGTGTTAATAAGCGATGCATAAAATAAGCAAAGTTATAAGATCATGTTTACTTTAAAATGTTTAAAACACCGTTTAACATTAAAATGTCCAAAATAATCCTATGCATATTTAGACACACAAACATTCATGAACACAAATATATAATATAATATATGGGATCGATCACCTCGTACGTGTACCTATATTCCTAACCCCTACCCTGCCCCTATACCTCGTACCCCCACCCTACACCCTACACCCAATTTCACACACTTGACCCCTACCCCTACCCTTACCACAATCTTACACTCTACCCATACTCCCCTAAAATCCTTCATACCCACCCATACCTACTCGTAGGGGTCGGGGTAGGAAAGGAAGGTATGGGTGGGGTATGGTCGGGGGTGGGGTGGTAAGGTCTAGGGGTACAGGGGGTAGTGGGTGGGTTAGAGTGGTGGTTAGGGGTAAGGGTGGGGGGTAGTGAGTAGGGTTGGGGTAAGGTAGGGGTAGAGTAAGGAGTTGGGATAGGATGGCGGTAGAGTGGGGCCGAGATCAGGGTGGGGCCGAGGTAGGGGGCATGTGGGAAGGGGTATGGTAGGGGTAAGGGGTAATATACGAGGTGGGGGTAGGGTTAGGGTGGCTCGGAGTGGGGTTGAGGTGATAGGGGTGGCGGTAGGGTAGGGTGGATCGTGTGGTAGGGGCCTAGGGGGTGGGGGTACGGTCATTGTAGGGAAAAGGGGTATGCGGGGGTGGGGTTGGGTGGGTAGGGTAGGGGTAAGGGGTAAGGTACGAGGATGGAGGTACTAGAATGGAATCGACATCGGAGCGGGACCGGACCCACCACTAGGTGTAAGTATGCAAATTCATTGCACCGTCCTATAATATATGCGTTTTCCAAATTTGGAAAACTGGTCAAAGTCACTTCTCCAATCATTAAGGAAAAGAGAGACATGTCTCATTTTTTTCGTTTTGGAAAACGGTTTGGTAAATGCGTTTTTTTGTTTTCCTTTCTCTAGTTTTCCAACAATTTTCTTTGGTAAACACGTTTCCTGTTTTCTGTTTTCTAGTTTTTCAGTTTTCTGGAAAACTGAAAAATATCTCTGTTAGTTAAAATTATGTAGTACTAAGTTATATTTTCATCCACCATGATTATAATCATATATTAGAAATTATTTATAAATTATATACCTATATATGTATATTAAATTGATTTTATATTAAATCTAATTGTTTCGGGTTTTTATCGGTCCGAGTCAGATTATTGATTTTGGGGCCATTAATGAGCCCGGGCTTTCACGTTCGGTCCTGACTTTTTTTTTGGGCCGGTTAAAAAGAAAAAGCCGGACAGAAATCATAATTCGGGCCGATCTAGGGTCCGTTTCCGAGTTTCGGTTCGGGTTTTTTCACCCGAAGATGAATCAGCTAGCGTACCGTTGCATATACTACGTATCCACTTACTTCAATATACATAACTCATTTATCTCACGTAGTCGATAAAGCAAGGTCGTCATTTGTCAACGATACTTTAAATACAAAATGATTGCAAATAATTTCAATTGATTTATAGATGCAATGCATACGCATTAGTAAATTACTTTTTAATTAATAATAGAAAATAACTGTCAATAAATTTATTCGGTCATCTGCTTTCAACGACATGTTTTTAATTCTGGTTATATAAACTCCAATATCCAGTTGTCAGCTTGCAAGTGGCATCCTTTACATTTTTTATTATACGGAGTAGAACTATATATACAAAGTTAAATATAAAAAATCTGTATGAAAGGAATTTGTTTGCTGCTCCCTAATGTTATTAGTGTACACAATAAATGAAATACAACATTACTTAAAATACAATAATTATTTATTTATGCTTCATTCATTCGTCTCTGCGGGCATGGCATATTAAAGTAATAATGGCATCATATCA